TCTCTTGCGCCGCTGACACCTTTAATTGCGTTGCTGTCACCAAAGTGCCATCCTCATTTATACCCATCAATCTGGAGGTCAATTCGAGTCGTGCACGCACTACATCAATATGTTTCGAACGTTCCCCGATGTCTGCCAGTAATGTGCTTCTTTCTTCATTCAAATGTTTTCGCTTCAGATTTAGCAAATCCATTTGACTCTTTATCTCCACCAAACGATCCTTCATGGTGCGATTTAGTTGCAAACGATGCTTGCCCAAGTGATAGGTATTGTTTTCGCACGCGATTATTTCATTCTCAAACTCCTTGCTGCGCATTTTCAGAAGACTCAACTCGACAATCTTCTGTTGGTTCTTGTTTCTTTCGACACTCAAACGTTTGATGCCGCCCTCGCAGTACATTTGGGCCTCTTTGATATTGAAGAGCTATCACAAAATATTTACGGTGCATAATAAATATATACCATATATAAGTAAATATCACTCACCATCTCCTCCAACCTCTTGTGATCAGCATTGTAGACGTCGGTTAGATTTCGCATATTATAGTCCAACTTTTTGTTTTGTGCCTCGGTGGTTTGCAGTCGCCTTTGCAGTATCAAATTTTGTGCCTCTAACTTGGTTAAATATTTCTGTGCTTCGGCCTCTTGTATGGGATCGAAATCTCCACCTTGTAACATTATTATTTTACGTTCAATTTGTAGACATTTGAAAGCCTAGTAGAAATGTAAATTCACTAGATAAAAGTTTTAAAATTATTTATGTGAAAATACGCACCGATTCGTAGTGAACTTCAGTTAGGCGATTGAGATCCTTTTCCATTTTCTTCGTGTTTCGGATGACTGTGGTGATGCTCGCTGACAAGCCGTCATTGGAAACCTTGAATGATATGTAATTTGTGTTTCAAATATCTGAGGATTTTTTTCATTCGGGAATTTTTATTAACTTTGGTACACCGAATAGAGTTCATATCTCATAGTTAAAAAACAATTGAGATTTCATAACCGGAATGGTCCCGCTAAATATTTCCGAGAAAAGTAACAGTGCAATTAAAAATACTTTTTTACGTCGCGATTTTTTTGCAAAAATACAAACTCACGGCAGTAATCGTATCTTCTAATGAACGAACTTCACATACTTGTATATCAAACGATCTCTGCCATTTTTGAATGCTGAGATGACAATCCATGACCGGAAATATATCCCGGTTTAGCGACCCACAAGTCCCTGTAAGTGTTGTGATATATTTTGTTTTGTAGGAAGTAGATGCTGTCATCAACATCATCCAATGGTTTATGATCGAGAAAATTGAAAGGTACAACTCTATTCAAAGGCAAAGGTGCAAAGATAAAACCAGCTTTTCTGGCAATGTGTCACTATTATTTCCTATTGTCCCTTATTAATTAAGTTTTTAGTTAAAGCAGTGCCATAAAAAACAGCCTAGGGTTTATTCTGTAGACACACAAAAATTCATTAGGGTTTATGCTGTAGACACACGAAAATTCGTTATCATTCCCCAAAATTATTTTTCAATCAGTCGAAGAATGTCGAGATCAAGTACAGCCACGAAACTGATTATCTAGGCCGGCTCGTTTTAACTTAAAGTTGTCCAGACGTCATTGTTTTGCACAAGACAATGGAAGGTCTCAAGGTTGGTTAATATATAAGTAGCGCCTATGGTTATCAAAGAAAAAAAAACAAGTATCGTCCAATGTTTCCATTGCGAAGTAAAGAAGAATCGGTTGTCTTTGGAAATTGCTTTAGCAAAAGCGTAATCTAAGTAATATATGAAATGAACCCGTATTTTAGGCAGATGGATATATGCTCATGCACTATACCATAATGTAAAAACAGTGATGCAATTTTAATGTGGTGTTAGTAAAAATATAATTTTACGCACCTCCACTCTTCGACAATCATTCTTTAAATCTTGCAAATATTCCTGACTGCGATAGATCAAACCGTTTAACCGAAACTTATCTTTGTTAATCTCTTTTTGTGACTTCTCTTCGGTATCGTTCATCTCTTCCAGCATTTGTAAACGCTGCTCAGCGCTTAAATGTTTATTCTCCATCTCTGCTAGGCGTGTCTCCAGCTTACGTAGTACCGATTTGAAATCTTCCAACGCTTGATTGCGTTTATCTTTTTCCTTAGTCATTTTGCGGTTCTCCACACGTTGTTGTTGCACTTTATTTGAGAGATTTTGCAGATCCTTTTGCAAGAGATCCACCTTTAAAAGCAGAAACATTATACATTTTATTTAATGTGGTCTTTTAACTATTTGAATTATTCGGCACCACCTCATTCTCTTTCAATACAGTCATGTCGATGAGTTTCTGGATTTGCTCTTTCATCTGTGAAGTTTCCTCATTCAACAAGGAGATATTATTTTCGATTTCATGATTATTCTGAATCAGGGCATCTAAGTGTTTATCGTAATTTCTTCGTTCCTTTAAGACGCGTTCAGCTTCGCTGCGCAAATTCTGCAACTCGTTTTCACCGTGTCGTATGTCGCGCTCACGCTGTAACATCTGTTGCACCGCCAACTTCCAAGTCTCCACCATTTGTCGACGCTCCGTATGCGCGGTACGATATAGTATAGCCGTACATTCAATATTCTGCTCCAACGACTTCTGCTCCTCGTATAACTTTACCAATTCTTTACGCAGTTTCTCAAGCTCGTTATGCAGTAATTGCCGACGCAGGTCTTTTTGGCGCGCCAACTCTTGATCTTCCTTGAAGTACTTCTCAATCAATTGATAGCCCTTGTTGGTGTCTTCCATGGCTTCACGCCACTCGAGCAGTACCGATTTCGCCCATTTAACGCGCGATGTCAAGTCGTCGATGGCATTTTTTCGGCGACACAGTTCCTCTGCAAGAGAGGGGTATGTAGAACAGGTCAATAAGATCTGTAAAGTCGTTAGCTATTGCACTTACTCTCTGTGTTGTCTACATATTCGGTGAAGCATTTAGTTTCCTTATTGATTTTGTTGATGTCGGCTTTCAGTTTCGATTGCACACGCTCGGCTACTTTGTAAAGATGTATCTCCGTGTTCACTTCAGTCTGATGCGCTTGCAGTAGTTTCTAAAAGCAACGCATATCGCTCAGTATCATTTTACTTACATATATTGCTCAACTGCTTACCAAATTCTGATTCACACACATTTCGGCATTTTTAGAATGCTGCAACAACTTTTCCAACCGATCCTCGGTTTGGATGTTCGATTCGAGCATTTGTATTTTCTCCTCCACCATCTGCTCCATTTCGGCCAAGATGCAGAGATTTTCCTTGCTAGCCATGGGTATTTCCGCCTGTGGGTCCCAACCCATGTCCATCATTGCCTTTCGTATGATTTCATCTTGTGTCTGTGAGCCCTCTTCTGTAGCCATTATGCCCTATACGCTTCAGTAATTATTAATACAAGTTTTTATTTTAATAGAATAGAATAGAATAGAGTATGTTATAATTTTGCTTGAAAAGTTGATTATCAAAAGTTGAATGAAGTGGAAGTTTTTGAAATTACGACATGCGAGTACTCAGTCTATGTTTTAATAGCGTTTCTACGTTTTATCAATAACACCTTGCGTTATAGCAACACTTACTGTTGTCACAGGTTCCGTTAGTATTGTGCATAAATTGTGTGGAAATGCGAAGCCACCCACAGTTTTGCTCACCAAATGGGGGTCGCATATTATATTTAAGTGTATAAGTATATATAATTATTTTGTTTACTAAACCTGAGAAGCTTGTCTTATGTAATACAAAATTAAAAAAATATATGTTGGAGATCACCTTAATTTTTGGTTCGTATTCTATGGTTCCGGAAATAAATTTTAATTATTCAAAAGGTTGATAAAATTTCAAAGTAAGCTATTGCAAGACAGAAATCTTTTCTGAAGATTAGCATTTACGGTTGTACGAAGACTACCTTAATTTTATATTATAACACGACTAAATTGCAAACTCATCACGTCTTAACGCGTACTCAACTCACGTTACCGGAATTGTAACCGAACTTCTTTATGCTATTACCAGCATTAGGGTTTATACTTTTGATATTATACCCTATGGTATATATATGCGTGTACAAAATTTAGATATTTGAAGAATTACTCCCATTTTAAGTAACATTTGCCTATGTGAGATCAAAAATTGTTTATAATAATGTCTCCTCTAATTATTTATTATCCATCGCTTACTGCTAACTATGTTAATTAATTGTAGACTTTTTAAGAAAGATTTTACTTTGCAAATTATGTTTGAAAGACTCCGAAGGCTCTGAATATATAATCAATTGCTTTTTCTCTCTAATTAAAAGATATGAAAGATATGTACATACATACAAATGTGATTTTTGTTGTTGGCGTTGTCACGAAATAGTTATGCAGAAATTCTTTGATCGTCTTACAAATTGTTTTGCTTCTTAACAAAATTCTCTCTATTTAAACTTAAGAAAATTTTGGTGATTTACGAATTAATTATATGAGTTATTTTCTGACCAGGAACTCCTACAATCGTTTTTAAACAAACAAACATTAATCAATTTCATATTATAAAGAGAAGCTATTGTGACGACAGCACAACAAAAGTATTGAATTCTTTGAATCGGCCAATATGAGGAAAGATAAGCCCCCCATAGAAATGTTGACCTTAATATCATAAAGTCATTTCTCCGCACAAAAAGTGCACCAACATGCAGCTATCATGACTGTTTTTCACTACAAGGATCTAATTTCCATAATCAGATAATATAACGCTGCAATCTTTTAGAAGAAATGAGAACTTGGCAAACATTCACTCAACAGTCCTAACCTCGGTTCCAGCGATTATTATTTATTTTTTAATGTGAGAGAGAATGTCATAAGAATATTTTTCAAACTATGGTGAAGTACGCAATTTTAATCTTGTTCTGGTCTCGTTTTAGCATAATGCCTAAATATATCGGGAAAGAAATAAATATGCTTTTCTCCCAGAACTGTAAAGCGATAAGACATAAAAAATTTTAAAAACAAATTTATTATTGTAGGATTATTAACTATATTTATAAACAATTATCACTGCACTTCTTACAATGCGAACATAGTTTTTCATTAAAAAATAGCTGACTTTGACTCTCGGCAAAGCTTGCAGAGTGGCGAATCAAATAAACAATTGGTATAAAACAAATTAAATGGCAGAATCAAATTGCGGTAAAAATATGAAGAAGCTATTCAACTTTAATGATAGACAACTTTGCCGCCGCTTTTATATATAAAGTTTTTGTCAAGAGATCTTAGCGAGCAAAGAAGTGTATAATCGAAGACTAATAATTTTTGTATCAAAAAAATATACTGAAGTACTGCCTAACACGGCTCGAGTTTTCAAAGCATATTGTTTCCGCCATCGTCTAGTAGAAATCGTGGAAATATATTATCGACATTATCACTAACACCTTCGACCATGTCTGTCATTAGCTGTGGTGAATAAAGGCGCATGTTTTGTAATTTCTGAGTTGGGGAGTTGCAATCATTACTACAGGCCGCTGGCGGACCCATAGAAGTATGCATATGTGTGGATGGTAAATGCTGACTACCGGCACCCTGATTACCAATACCCATTTTATTGCACGATTCAACGATAATATCATCGATAGCTTTGGTGAGTAGTGCCTCATCGACGTTCCCGTTACAATCGTTAGCAGCGCTTATCGCAGCAATTTCCGCGCTGGCTGGGGAGTTTTGTGTATCGCTTATGTTCACGCGAGTATTCTCCAAAAATTCTTTAATGAAATTCTCCGATATATCATCGGTAGTTTGTTCGAGCGCCTGCTTGTCCATATTATTGCCCTCTTTATTGCCAAGTGTGGCATCTTCCACAGCATCATCTGCGGCGCATTGTGCTGGTTGGCATTTGTGTGTTCGTTGTGAGACCTTATAGCGGAAGCTTTTCTGGCACACCTCACATTTGTAGGGCATAATGCCTGTATGGATGCGGGTATGCACCAAAAAAGAAACGCGTTGTCGGAAGCATTTACCTGAGGGTAATAAGAAATTTTATATTAATGTCTTAGGATAGTTCAGGGACTTCACCGTTTCAGAACTTACCGCACACTTCACACTTAAAGGGTTTCTCACCACTGTGTATTCGTTCGTGGTTGTGTAGAGTTGACAGCTCCTTGAAAGCACGTCCACAAGTTGCGCAAACATGCGGCTTTTCATTACTATGATAGAGTAGATGTTTGTGATATGACTGTTGAAAAGTAAAGGTTCGCGCACAAATCTCACAAGTATACGGCATCTCACCTGAAAGTTATTCAATTTTTGATATACATAGATACCGATTATGTTAGAAAATAATCAAGGTATGAACATTTATTCGTATTTAAAATCCGATACATTATCGAAAATCGACTAAACAGTCACATTTTCCCTTTCTTATCGAGATCGAGTCGAATCTTAAAGTATATTACATACATGTTTGTTTCTCGAGAATAAGACATCAATCATTAATAGGTTAGACATGGCTATACCACGATATTTTTTCGCTGAAGAGACGAGGCGATGGAATGAAATATTGCTATGCTGTTACCACTGCCTGGTAGTAGAAAACTTTCACTCTATTTATAACTACAAGTATACGCCAATAACTTTTTTTTTGTGTGGAACTCATCCTATTCTCTTTTCTATAGCTAACAAATTATTTTTCGGCAAAGCTCACTAGAAATAATCTTTTATAAATCAGCAAAATTAGAGAAAGCACTTGGTATAGATTTGAGAATGCACTTAGTGCAAATAAATAAGTTCTTAAGGAGCCCTGCAGATATTTTACAAAATTATAACCACAATCTTCCTTTATGTACCTAAACTGACGCATATATATATTTAACCAGCTAGGTAACCTAGTAACGGTGTTTTTAGACTTAAACATAAAACCAAAACAAACAAAATAAAGTGAATTCGGGAATCCAGCGATATAATGGATGCGTTAACAGAAAATTTACTCTGCGAGGATAAAGAAATTAGATTTGACACGCCAAATGTGTAAGTATGCAGTTAATTAGTACTGCTACGGTTATATTGATAATAAAATATTAACAATTTAGGCAAAAGCACTTGCGAAAAGGTGAAAAAGTTTTGGACACTATTTATCATATTGAGGACACTAAAGGTAATCCCAGCGATACTGGACGTCTTTTAGCCACGAATCTACGTCTTATTTGGCATTCCTTATCACATAAGAAATATAATTTGTGTAAGTCTATGTTTCAGCATTATTCATTCAGTTCCAATCGATTTATCAACACATTCCACATTTAGCTATCGGCTATGGTCGATTTGTCAACACTAACACGCGCTCAGTGGTATCGAAAGCTGGCGCGCCAACTCAAGCCCTTTACATATTGGGAACCGGAAGTAATACACGGTTTGAGTTCCTCTTCACCGATATCTCTGGTGATGCGGCGCGAAGGGATACACCAATTTTTCAAAGCGTTTTCGAGATCTATCAGTATTTAGATGTGTAGATAGTATGTAGTTTAAAATTTATAGTAAAATATTTCGATATACTCTCTCTTCAGATTGTATCTACGCACATACTTGTATAGAGACCTTAAACTACGTGGCGCAATTATATTATCAGGCCAATTGATAATCATGCCGGATGAGTTGGTCTATAACAATATCAACGGCGTATGGAATTTATCCAGCGATCAAGGAAATTTGGGCTCATTTGTACTTACCAATATACGCTTGGTGTGGTTTGCTGATGCGAATGATACCTTCAATATTAGTTTACCCTATTTGCAAATATCAAACGTAAGTAAGTTATTCAGAACATACAGTTGAAAATCGAACAGGCTCCATACAGTATTTAAAAATAATATGACTGGACCTGCGAAGCTGACAAGGGTTTATGTTTCCGCAATAGTTTATAGAGACGAAATATTTGATAACTACATTTGATAAGACTCTTACTGGTAACAACTTTGCACTAACTTTTGTTTAAACCATTATATACTGGGCCTTCTTAAAGTTATGAAGGCAATGATCTCCAAACATTCATTAGGATGAGCAGTGAGCACGCGCAAAACAGAACACAGCTTAGTATGTCTAGTTTTCAGAGCATATTAGTATCCCTTTAAAATAAATAAAGAACTTGAAAGGATATATGAGGCTGAGTTGGGATACTTGCTTTTTCAGAGCCAATATTTAACGTGAACTTATCGTCCATTGTCTCCCATTAGTAAGAGCTTAGACATACGATTTTCAATAGATTTCTGGCAAGGCTTGATTAGTTAGATATGGTAGGTATAAGATGTTTTTGATTGTTGCCACTACGATCCAAACTAAACAAAGCTTGTGAAAATATGCATGCAAGATAAACCATCAATTAAATGACGTTTCGTGGGACTTATTACAATAACGTTTATAAAACAGAAATTCCCTTATTCTATAAAAAAAAATACTTCAAGGCAGAATAATACTTGTAAGACCTCGCATTTGTTTCAATCTCAAATTAAATTCTAATAATATAGCCCCTATAGCTTCGCTAAGGCTAAGGCCATAAAATACAATCTTGAAAAATATCACACGACTTCTCACCAAAACTATGTTGCTACGTTAACATTTATTCGATACGAACTTTTCAGATACGCATACGGGAATCAAAATATGGACCAGCGCTTGTGATACAAACTGCAGATACTGGTGGAGGCTACGTTCTCGGTTTTCGTATAGATCCCATTGAGCGCCTAAATGAAATCTACAAGGAACTCATTTCATTACATGCTATTTATACAGAGAATCCAAATTTCGGCGTACGTTATGACTGTATGGATGCCAAAAACCGAATAGAGAAAATGAAAGAGGCAGAGGAGTTCAAAACCGAAGAGTTTCAAGAGATCGACGAACGCCAAGAACGTGAAGTCAACACAAAGCTTAACACTTATTTGGCAGAGGGTATGCCGGTGGCCGGCACTGAAGCACCAATACGGGAACCAGTATATTGTAAGGAGTTGGGCTTTGCAATGGAACGCATACGCGAAGGGTATAAATTGCAAGATTTATGGGATGTGCTACCGAGAGTAGAGTTAGAATGATATGTGAATAAGTAGTGTTGCGATTTTATTTAAAATTCATTTAAAAAAATGCAAATTAATATATATGAATATATTATATTTTAGTGAACTGCTCACCCGTATGCAAGCGTTTGTGCTTTTTCAGAAAGTATTTTGTGGTAAATGTTTTTGCGCACTCATTACACTTCCACAATTTATTATTTTCTGCTGTGTTTTTACTCTGCTGATCCATTAACTCCTTGCCACCATTTATCAATACATTGGATATGCTGGTGCCACCGGCAACAACCGACGACTTCTCGCCACCGGGCACTGTCGTGGAATTTGTGTTGATTACTAAGAGTACATTTGAATTCAACGCCGCGCCGTCCACAGCATGTAGTAATTCACCGTTATTATTTAAATTTAATAAGTTCCCTGACGCACTCGCCGCAACCGTTGGCGCCGGCAATAAAGTCAATGTACCGAATGTGAAGCCGCTAGGCACCTGCGCCGACGACTGTGACGCATTCGCGGTGAACGTTAATTGGTGCTGCGATAATGGCTGCTTTACTGTTGAATGGAGTAATTGCGCGCCGTTATTTTCTACTTTCAACGGGGTGGGTTGCGCTACGCTGGTAGAACTCTTGTTGGCAGTGGTTCCCAACTTCGTTTCCTTATAACGTATACGATCGCAGATGCTCAATTTAGGGCTATTGCCAGTATATGGTAGACACATTAGATGGACTACTTTCAGATGTACGCGAAGCGAACCTTTCATTTTGAAGGTCTTCGAACAAAGATGACATTTGAAATCGGGCTCTGTGGAGCAGGCGGTGCTCGCTGTAAGTTCACCGCTGTTGTTATTGACATTCTGATGTACTAGACGAAAATGCATATCACGCAATTCCTCATCACGAAATGTAAACTCACAAATATCACAAGTAGAAAGCTTAGCAGCCGGCGCATTAGCAATAAGGCTGCTCGTACTATCAACGACTTGCGTACTAAATGAAGTATTTCCGTTATCGCTTTGCGCCGTCTTCGTTGTATCCTCGACTAGCTGTCGTGCCTTCTTTGTTTTCTTTTCCTTACTAGCACATTTCATTGCCGCTACAGTGGAAATTCTTGTCTCTTCTGCTTCTAATTTATTCTCGATCTTTTTCACTGATTGTTCTGTTCGTTTGGTGTCTGCTATGGCGACGGTCTCTTTTGACGTTTCGGTCATTATGACAGTGGTATGACTGAATAGATGTATGGTCAACTTGTCCAAACCTAAAAACAGCTCATGACATATGGGACAGGCCAATGGTCCATTTGCGGCCTTAATTAAACTGACACGTAAGGCGTCGATATTGGGAAAATTTGTCTGCGCACAAAGCGGACACTTCAACGCAGACAATGAACACATTTTCAACAGTGTCACCAGCGTATAGAATGTCCTCACTTTTCCACACACGATAAGACACAGTTCATGGAGGACTAACACCTTTAAAGTGGTTTCCAAAACATACTACAATTCGCCTATGAACTCGTTCAATATATAATTGAATTATTGTTATTTCCTATCGAACTTTTTTCATCCACAACAATATTCTGTAAATTTTGTCGTTACAAATTTAACACAACCGCAGCGTGCGACTATCTCGTACACGTATGAGTTTCTTTTTGAGTATGCGATCCAACGAAATAGACGCATATTTGATTTTTTCTAAAAATAAATTAAAATTCTGTATTAAAAATGAAAAACGAAATATGTATTTCGCTCTTTCGGCCTACAAATATTCAGTTAGCCATTCACCCGAAGTACCGACGATCCTACCGCAGCTGTTGCTACCGTTGTTTTCGTCGTTTTCATTGCTGCCGATCATCCTCATTTTTGGCTATTTTCACACGGCAGTCTCGCATTCTGCCGTGTAAATGTGTGCGTGGCTCTTCTTCTGGCATTTCCCGAGCAACTTTATTCGTCGTTTCCAAATACTGTAAGACTATGCTCGTATTGTTTTGAAGTGCTCTATGTTGTGTTTAGTTTTGACCCCATTCTCAATATTTAGCCACTATTTCTTTTCCCGTTAAATTTGTAAACAATTCGGTAAACATGAAGATTCATATGGATGTACATACTTAGTACACTGAGTGTCTGTCATTCTAATAGTATAGCAATATTTAGGTGATTTTGTATAGTATATTATAGTTGAAATAATGTTAGATTTTGAGTTAACTTGTCTAATAATTTTAGCAGTTTTGAGAACAGCATAGAGTCCTCTCCTGAGTAACCAGAAACATATTCCTTCTGAATTGCTCAGAAGTAAGAAAATTGTTTGCTATTCTAACCATAAAAGCGCGATATTAGTTTTATGTTGCGAAAACGACACCTAATGTTTGCCAAGTATCAATGGAAACAATAATTCGAATAAAAATTTATATATTTTGTGTTGCAACCTATGCCTTACAACTGCCGGTTTACAACTCAACTTTGCTTCAGTTGAAAGTTTGCAATTCGATATTAACGATAATAGCAGCTCTACACATCGTAAATTTAGTTTTAATATCAAACGTGGACAATTCAGCAGTTATTATAGAGGAAAAAAGCTGTTAAATCAGTAAATTTTTAATTGATAGCAAACAGTATGTTCTACTGTAGAAGAGATAGCAAAACAAATAGGTTTTTGAAAATATTTATGTAAATATCCAGAGTTCAGGAAAATTGCCTATAAAACGCTGATTGAACCACAACTTATTGTCCAACAATTTTTCTTATGGTATCAGATACAAAGATAGATAGACTTCAGATATTTCAAAATAGATGAATGATTTTAATCTCATACAAGTAAAGCAAATAATATTTCATCTCACTATAAAAATGACTTTTAATAGATAATATGATAATGCAGCGAAATATATAAGAAATCAGTTTGTATTTGTATTGCTCTCACAGTTAAAGAACCTTATGAAAATATGACTTTATTCTTCGATATGAAAGCAATGCATTTGTTGTAACGGTCCTCTAATATTTCAATAGCACTTTTATGGTGCGAAGATTCAAAACCTTCAAAACAGTAAAAATTAGTACTCTAAGGTTAAGATCGAGACGTTTTTGTTATAACATATTAACACCGGTCAACAGTGGTTTTGTTGCCCTAAATATAATCTATCTATCTAGATCTATTTTGGCTAAATTTGGGCAAACAAATCATGAAACTATCAATGATTTTGTAAGATTTGCTCTCGATTATTTTTAAATCTTTATTTCCAATTAACATTACAAAAATCAGAAAACCAAATAACGCATTTATTTATTATGTCAGTTTTGTTTTTAAAAATTTAATCTGTCATCATGTGACGATCCCATCAACCTTGATACCTTGTATTTAGATCCTAGTGGAACCACTCTCTTTAGTAGTTTGTCAGCATATTTTTCAAAATTTCTTCATAATTTGATGATGTATAGTTGCATAGAAAATGTTCAACTATTAACACAAAATTTTGATCAGCTTCAATTCCCGGAACGGTCACAAACTTGATAAAATCTGTATCTTTTATTAATTGTCGTATTCCAGGACCATTAAACTATTCCATCTTTCAATTTTTCCATACTAAGCTTAGGAAATTTGCTACAACTGTAATTTAAACAATATCCTTCCTCGTCAATACTACTACTGTAAAAATACTGTATAATAAATAAAAAATAAAACTATATAGTATTATTGAATTCAATATTGATTATATTTGTTATTGATTTCTTTTTTTATGTATTTTTGTTCACCGTTTAATACATTTCACTTTTTTGATTTGATTAAACTAATTTTTAAATGTTATGCAATAGTTTACGGACTAAATTACGAGTTAATAATATATTTCAAATATTCCATTTATATTTTATGTAGTTATATTAATTATATTCCTATATGTAGATGTATATTGAATGTAGTTATGTATATATATATATTTGTATACATATATAGTTTATGCGTATTTCCAAGTTTCAATTTATCAATATTTCACTTATTACATATTAAACTGACAAATAGAAGAGTTTGAGTGGAAATAATTTTTATTTTCATTTCTTATGTTTGCATTACTTTTTTCAATAAATGTTTGATGTAATTAGTAAATATTTCACAATAACTAGGCGCAGTACATAAAAGAACAAAAAGAAGCTAACTTTACCGCCTATGACAAAAAAGAACAATAAACACTAATAAATAAACGAAAAATTGTAACAGAAAAAAGTTCAAAAGCAATGTTATAAGGCAACAAAATCATTGAATGAAATATACTAGCGACACATTGCTGAAGCGACACAGGTGGGAAATTCAAGTAAATTAATTTGTGAAATGGTTCATACAAACGAAACTTCGCTAGAAAACCCAGCAATATGTGTGCAATTTAAAAGCAAATCTTCAACACCTCCCCCCTCATCAACGCTTTTGCACAAATCCATTAGTTCACTTAGCCTAAACTATTTAACCGCAGCGGGTGTACATATCTACTTATGTCTGTATATAGATGTATGTAATTGTATTACATTGTTGTTGTATATATAACTAAGCTCGACTGCAGTGGTGCGTCACTAATAAAAGTTCTATAATACAAAGTGATGTGCTGAAGAAACTGAAAATCTACAAATCTCTATAGCGGTTAATGTTGTTGGCGACGATGTATATTAAATATCTGTGGTTATGTTGTTGAGTGTCTGAGTAAACTCAACAAATTACTGTTTATTTACCACGAAATAATAGTAAGACTATTTTTCTGCAGTACGCTTACGACTGTTAAGTTTAAGTGTATTTTAATACAAGCTTACTGGCGGGCGTTACAAAGACTACATAAATGTGTGTGTGTGTGTGTGTGCTTATTTACTTGTAAGATTTTGGTTTTGCATTAAATAAACATTTTAACTATATTCAATATTTAGTATTTTGTAAGACTATTTGTAAGCATGTATGTACATGTACGCCGTTAGACGCGATGTCAAAAAATACCTGAAGAGTTGCTTAAGAACATATTTTGTTGTATGTGTTATATCAAAAACGGCCACATAACATACAATTCAGTAGTACTACAAGAATATGAAAATGAAAACAAAAACAAAAAAAAAGCCTATCCATAAATGTATAACATAACTACATACATACAATATATTGAAACAAAGCACTATATAATAATAACATAAAATAATAAACTCATTTTTACTTTCTCATTTTTATAGAAAATAATATGAATTTAAGAAATCTATTTATTAAAATTATTTTTAGTTTGATTATCTATGAATTCACTTGTTTTATTTATACTCCACTGCCTATTTCCTATTATATATATATTTATATAATATTACTAGGAAATCTTGCTTGCCACAAATGCCTTCTACGGGTTTCTTGAAATCTGCTGCATAAAAATTTGTCATCACTGTTCTTAACTCATGTTTGACGAACTTTGCGCGTCAGCGCTGGACAATTAATAATTCATTGTTGTTATTGTTGTTGTGTAGCAGCATAAAATGTTACCACATGTTTTTCGGAAAATACTTTACTTTAATAACTAGCGTTTGAAAAAATTGGTTTGCATGCACACACAACATTTTGAGCGTTTACAGTTTATGCCAAAACAAAACGCCAGCGATACATTACCATCTTATTTACTTATACTTGTATGTATCTGAATACATATGTATATGTGAGGTGTTTGCACTTGTGCGTTGGTTTTTGTTTCATCTCAAACATTTTGCCGCCAATTATTTTGCAATGTTTTATTATCATTCTATATTTTATTTATTCTTTTTCCATTAAATTAATTTCATATTTCATATATTGAATTCAGTAATTAAGAATATGTTTTCAATTTCTCTGTGAGTGTATATGTGGGTGTATGGGAGCGTGTTTGTTTTCTTTTTTGTTGTTATAGGTTTCTATTTATATACATACATATCTGTTGTTGTTGCTTTTGATTCATTTGTTAAGTTTAAGATGCTTACTTTCGATTTCATCAGCAATATAAACTGCGGTTTCAATCATATCACCCATTCAAAATTATTTTAACAAAAATGTGTTTCATGTTTTTTGTTTCTGTTATTGTTGTTTTATGTTTTCCATTTTCGTTATTGATACATTTATTTGTATTTATGATAAATGGAACGACATACTGCCTTCATTAGCGGCAACTTTGAGTTTCTGCCGCATCACTTCCCGACTTGAGTAATCGGGTAATTTTAAATAGTTCACACATGTCATTACAGATGGCAAATAATCATTTGGATTTTGATTACCGTCAAATGTTTTACGAACAATTGTTAGTTGTGGTGTTAGTGACTTGAAGCCGCCCGTTGGCAACCGTGGTGATCCGGTAACAAATTGTAAAAATAATCGTTGCTCATCACGATTATATGAAGAGAGTATATCGTATAGATATTGTATGGCTTGTGAGTCCTGTGTAAAACCGTGATCGGTACGGCAACAGTCTTGTAGCATTTTCATCTCCCAACGATGATAGTTAGTAGCACCAGAACCGCAAAAGACATTCTCCAATTCTTCGGGATAAAACATGCGCAAACGTTGCGTTGAGAATACAGAGTCGAAACCTTAAAAAAATAACAAAAAACATAAATTCCAAGTTTATTAAATTTTGTTATTATTACGCCCGATTCTTACCTTCTCGCAATGCCTCAAATTGTTTCTGCACGCCTTCGACCAGGAACCAATACGTCACCAATGAGATGTACTGATGCAGGTTGTGTATGGTTACGGGTGTATCACGTCCACCGCGACACAATTCAATGTTAGCATAAC